CCCCCCCCCCCCCCGTATTTTCTCATGGTATGGGAATTCTGTGTGTGAAGGTCAATGCCCACCAAGCCCTTCCAATATTTTCTGATGCACGTGGGAGTTCTGAGTGCCAAGTTTGATTCAATTCCATCATTGGTGGAGTTCAGAAGGCTCTTTGATTTTAGGTGAACTATAAATCCCAGCAACTCCAGCATTCCCAAATGACAAAATCAATCACCCCCCTCCCAACCCCACCAGAATTCAAATTTGGGCGTATTGGATATTTGGGCCAAATTTGGTCCAGTGATACATCCTATGTATCGGATACTTGCATTACAATTCATAACAGTAGCAAAATTACAGTTATGAAGTAGCAACGAAAATAATGTCATGGTTGGGGGGTCACAACATGAGGAACAGCATTAAGAGGTCGCGGCATTTGGAAGGTTGGGAACCACTGATCTAAAGCTAGCAGGTGCCAAGTTGTTTTCAAGCCCCAAATCCTGGGAACTCTCTGGGAGCAATTCAGGGAGTAAACTCTCATCCCTATACCCTGTAGGAACATTCTCATGAGAAACTACACTCTGAACAGGTGTCTCTATGTCATTCTCTGCATTAATATCATTGACCAAACCATGGCCATCCTGACCCTCATTGACATCATTCCCCACATCCAAAGTACCATGATCTTGAAACACAATCACAGGCTGAACTCCAGCATCCTGTTCCAATTCAAACTCATCCTTTAGAAAGAAAAGATAATCTCACCTTTTAATTTATTTTCTGACCAACTCTTCTGACAGTTGCTGTTGGTGAGACGATGGCCAGAGTGTTGTACTAATTCTGGCGGTGGTTGCCGCTTGCCTTCTGGCTCTTTGCAAAAGGGCAAGGTGCTCCTGCCATTCACACTCGAATCAGGCATGAGAACGGAGGAAAAGGAATGTGGAGGTGATCCGGGTTCTTCGCTGTTGCAAACTGGACGACCTGGAGAAATGAATACCAAAAAAACACACAAACAAACAAAAACAAAGGATACAAAGGTAAATATAGGAATCATTGCTGGGGTAATGAATCCATTCCAATGTATTGTTGAAGGCTTTCATGGCTGGAATCACTGGGTTATTGTGAGTTTTCTGGGCTGTATTGCCATGTTCCAGAAGCATTCTCTCCTGATGTTTTGACTGCATTTATATAAAGCATCCATTCCATTCCAAGTTTCCTCCAAACGTTAAAAGTTGTAGCCAAAGTCCTAAACCTACTTTGGGCCTAGCTTTCAGTATCTTGGAAAGTTCAGACTAAAACCCAGAGTGGATGCACATCTCACTGAAGCAGCTAGATGCCACCAGAAGCTAGTGGCAGCATTCTCTCCTGATGTTTCGCCTGCATCTATATAAGGCATCCACTCCATTCCAAGTTTCCTCCAAACTTTAAAAGTTGGAGCCAAAGTCCTAAACCTACTTTGGGCCTAGCTTTCAGTATCTTGGAAAGTTCAGACTAAAACCCAGAGTGGATGCACATCTCACTGAAGCAGCTAGATGCCACCAGAAGCTAGTGGCAGCATTCTCTCCTGATGTTTCGCCTGCATCTATATAAGGCATCCACTCCATTCCAAGTTTCCTCCAAACTTTAAAAGTTGGAGCCAAAGTCCTAAACCTACTTTGGGCCTAGCTTTCAGTATCTTGGAAAGTTCAGACTAAAACCCAGAGTGGATGCACATCTCACTGAAGCAGCTAGATGCCACCAGAAGCTAGTGGCAGCATTCTCTCCTGATGTTTCGCCTGCATCTATATAAGGCATCCACTCCATTCCAAGTTTCCTCCAAACTTTAAAAGTTGGAGCCAAAGTCCTAAACCTACTTTGGGCCTAGCTTTCAGTATCTTGGAAAGTTCAGACTAAAACCCAGAGTGGATGCACACCTCACTGAAGCAGCTAGATGCCACCAGAAGCTAGTGGCAGCATTCTCTCCTGATGTTTCGCCTGCATCTATATAAGGCATCCACTCCATTCCAAGTTTCCTCCAAACTTTAAAAGTTGGAGCCAAAGTCCTAAACCTACTTTGGGCCTAGCTTTCAGTATCTTGGAAAGTTCAGACTAAAACCCAGAGTGGATGCACACCTCACTGAAGCAGCTAGATGTCACCAGAAGCTTTGTACATTCACTACTTACATGTAGTTGGCATGTGTGTCCTCTCCCAAAGTGCTTATTAAACATCTTTTGAAGAGCTTTTTTTGGTTTGTTTTTGAGACACATTTATTTTATTCGTTTTTCTTTTAAATGCACATTTACAGAAAGGTGTGCTCGCCTGTCTGCTTCCCAGGTACTTCGGACATGCCTTAAACACCCGAACAAGGGAGAAGTGATATGGGAAGCCACTCGTAAGACGACCTTCACCCTTTAGACTTGTTTGTTCAGACTTGTTTTGCATCCCGTTGACAGGCTGGGGATCCTGCTGGGAAAACAATGCAGTGGGACAAAACAGCCGAATTTCAGCTGCATCCAGCTTTTGGCTGCATGCGTAGATTTTTGAGTGGCTTTGCTCCTGCTGACAGGCATTTCTCCTTCCTCAAACCAAGTAAAGAGGAGCACTCAGCATTTGTCCTTCCAGAGGAAGGATGTTGCATGATGCTATGGGCCTTTTGGGTCTAAGCGACGTTGGTCATACTGCTTTGGCTGCTTTCCTGGCGATGACCCTGCTCTCCTTCCTTAGGGAGCATCTACACTGCAGAATGAATGCAATTTGGTTGCACTTTCATTGCCATGACTCAGTGCTATGGAACCCTGGGAAGGGTAGTCCTAGAGCAGCATTTCTCAACCTGGGGGTCGGGACCCCTGAGGGGGTCGCGAGGGGTGTCAGAGGGGTCACCAAAGACCATCGAAAACACTATTTTCTGTTGGTCATGGGGGTTCTGTGTGGGAAGTTGGGCCCAATTCTATTGTTGGTGGGGTTCAGAATGCTCTTTGATTGTAGGTGAACTATAAATTTTAGCAACTACAACTCCCAAATGTGAAGGTCTATTTTCCACCTGTGTTCATATTTGAACATATGGAGTATTTGTGCCAAGTTTGATCCAGATCCATCATTGTTTGAGTCCACAGTGCTCTCTGGATGTAGGTGAACTACAACTTCAGAACTCAAGGTCTATGCACACCAAACCCTTCCAGTATTTTCTGTTGGTCATGGGGGTTCTCTGTGTTAAGTTTGCCCCAATTCTGTCGTTGGTGGGGTTCAGAATGCTCTTTGATTGTAGGTGAACTATAAATCCCAGCATCTACAACTCCCAAATGTCAAGGTCTATTTTTCCCAAACTCCACCAGTGTTCATATTGTCGAAGACTTTCATGGTCAGAATCACTGTGTTGTAGGAAGTTTTTTCGGGCAGTATGGCCATGTTCAAGAAGCATTCTCTCCTGACGTTTTACCTACATCTATGGCAGGCATTCTCTCTCTCTCTCTCTTTCTCTCTCTCTCTCTCTGAGAGTGTTTCAGGACAGGGACATCTGTAGGGATACCAAGGGCTTGTTTATAAAGCTATTGTCCTCCCAAGCCTGCTATACGCCTGCGAGACGTGGACTGTCTACAGACGTCACATGCAACTCTTAGAATGATTCCATCAGCGCTGCCTCCGGAAGATCCTGCAGATCTCTTGGGAAGACAAGTAGACAAATGTCAGCATACTGGAAGAAGCAAAGACCACCAGCATTGAAGCGATGGTCCTCCACCATCAACTGCACTGGACCAGCCACGTTGTCCGGATGCCTGACCACCATCTCCCAAAGCAGTTGCTCTACTCCAAATTCAAGAACGAAAACGGAATGTTGGTGGACAGGAAAAGAGATTTAAAGATGGGCTCAAAGCCAACCTTAAAAACTCTGGCATAGACACTGAGAACTGGGAAGCCCTGGCCCTTGAGCGCTCCAGCTGGAGGTCAGCTGTGACCAGCAGTGCTGTAGAATTTGAAGAGGCACAATGGAGGGCAAAAGAGAGAACTATACCAAGAGGAAGGTGCATCCAGCCAACCCCGACTGGGACCGCCTTCCACCTGGAAACCGATGCCCGCACTGCAGGAGAAGATGCAGATCAAAAATAGGGCTCCACAGTCACCTACGGACCCATCACCAGGACACCAAACTTGGAGTACAATCCTACTCGGAATGAGAACAATTTATAATATGAGAAATATTTATAATATCACAAAGTATTACTACCTCGCCTGCGTCATAGGAAATCTGCTACGAAACAGGAGCTTCCTTGTTGAGTTCCAGGGCCAGAAAAGCAGATGGAAACAGAAGAACGGCCTGCCTCAGGAGAGCGTGCTTGCTCCATCCATGTTCAACATCTACACAAATGACCAGCCCTGCCAGAAGGGACAGAGAGCGTCATCTGTGCTGACGATTGTGCCATCACCGCTCAAGCAGGGAGCTTTGAAATGGTTGAACAGAAGCTCTCCGAAGATTTAGGTGATCTTACTGCCTATTACAAGGAAAACCAGCTGATTCCTAATCCATTTAAAACACAGACATGTGCTTTTTACCTTAAGCATCGAGAACCCTGAGGATTATCTGGAAAGGAATCCCACTGGAGCATTGCAACACTCCAAAAAACCTGGGAGATACTCTGGACCATGTTCTAATTTACAAGGAGCACTGCTTGATATCAAGCAAAGAGTGGGTGCTAGAAATCATATCGTACGAAAGTTGACTGGCACAACCTGGGGATCACAACCAGATACAGTGAAGACATCTGCCCCTGCACTATGCTACTCTGCTGCTGAGTATGCATGCCCAGTGTGGAACACATCTCACCACACTAAAACAGTGGATGTGGCTCTTAATGAGACATGCCGCATTATCACGGGGTGTCTGCGCCCTACACCACTGGAGAAATTACACTGCTTAGCCGGTATTGCACCACCTGACATCCGCCGGGAAGTAGCAGCCAATAGTGAAAGGACCAAGGCAGTGACATCTCCAGCTCATCCCCTGTTTGGGTATCAGCCAGCACGTCAACAACTTAAATCTAGAAATAGTTTTCTAAGATCTACAGAGACACTCGCTGGAACACCTCAGCAAGCGAGAGTCCAAAAGTGGCAGGCTCAACCCAGAACCTCAACCAATGGCTGATACCAAATGAGAGACTCCCTGGGCACACAGAAGACTGGGCGACTTGGAAGGCGCTGAACAGACTGCGCTCTGGCACCACAAGATGCAGAGCCAACCTTAAGAAATGGGGCTACAAAGTGGAATCCACAACATGCGAGTGTGGAGAAGAGCAAACCACTGACCACCTGCTGCAATGCAACCTGAGCCCTGCCACATGCACAATGGAGGACCTTGAAGCAACACCAGAGGCACTCCAAGTGGCCAGCTACTGGTTAAAGGACATTTAATCAACTACTAAGCTTGCAAACTTTGTGTTTTGTCTGTTTGTTTGTTTTGTTAAAAATGTATACAACTGTCTGGTTGCTCCTGACACGATAAATAAAATAATTCACTTCCAACACAACGTGGGTCACAGCACAACATCAAAACTCTCCTTAACACAGAGAAGAGGGATTATTCATCCAAGGGTCATGTTGGGATTCACAGAACCCCCCACAGTGTGACATGGAGATACAGACTGCTTTTACAGTCAGTAACAGACAAAGCAAACACATTTAATCCACATCAGGTGAAGGCAAGGGCAGACAACCCTGTGTCCCTGAAACGATGGAATGATCACAGCAGAGGGGTATTTCCCACTCACTTTGAAATGTGCAAGAGGACCGGGAACAGGCATTGCATTGTCTTGTCCCTAAATGCCACATTTGGAGGCTTTTCTAGACCATTTTCAATCAAGTAACAGTCTATTTTTTTATGGCAAGATGAAGTAAGTGGAAGTCATTTCCCATTCAGTTCTCGTTTCAGAAAAACCTACCTTAGTGCAAAATGTGGTGGAAATGTGCCCCACTCCCTCTAGTGGACATTATTGTTTTGGGGGAAAATGTGTAAACCAGTGTATCGTCGAAGGCTTTCATGGCCGGAATCACTGGGTTGTTGTAAGTTTTTCCGGGCTATATGGCCATGTTCTAGAGGCATTTTCTCCTGACGTTTCGCCTGCATCTATGGCAAGCATCCTCAGAGGTAGTGAGGCTGGGTAACAACGGAAAAATTTGTTTCTAAAATCGATTCGTTTTTTGGGGTTTTTTGCGTTTCGATATTTAAAAGAATTCCGATTTTTTTTTAAAAAAAAAGTTCGATATTTACGAAATTTCGTAAATGGTAAAAAAATTACAAAACAATAACGAAACAATAACAAAACAATAACGAATCGATTCGTTAATGGCGGACGCGACCGCGCAATACGCTAAAAAACCTCCAAATGGGACAGGGGGAACTTCTGAAGCTTCCCTCTCCCTCTGTTGTTGACTGTTGGTGTGATATTATATTTTTTTTTACTAATTAAACAAAAAACAACTATAAAACTTGCCCCAGACATGCGGAAATAATAACGAAACGACCTCAAACCAATAACGAAACGAATACATAACGAAATACGAAGCATTTACGAAACGAATTGAAAAATTTGTTTCGTTTTTAAGTTGCTCCAGAATGGTTCGTTATCGCTTCGTTAACAAAAAAAAATAACGAATTTTTAACTAATTATGAATTAACGAAACGAAACCGCCCAGCCCTAGTACTAAGGTCTGTTGGAACTAGTAAAAAGGGTTTATATATCTGTGGAATGACCAGGGTGGGACAAGGACTTTTGTCTGCTGGAGCTAGGCGTGAATGTTTCAACTGACCACCTTGATTAGCATACAATGGGCTGACTGTGCCTGGAGCAAACTTTTGTTGAGAGGTAATTAGATGTCCCTGCCTGTTTCCTCTCTGTTGTTGTGCTGTTGCAATTTTAGAGTTTTTTAATACTGGTAGCCAGATTTTGTTCATTTTCATGGTTTCCTCCTTTCTGTTGAAATTGTCCACATGTTTGTGTATTTCAATGGCTTCTCTGTGTAGTCTGACATGGTGGTTGTGAGAGCACCCAAACACGAATCAAGGAACATGAAAGGCACTGCAGACTACTTCAACCAGAGAAGTCAGCCATAGCAGAGCACTTGATGAACCAACATGGACACAGCATATTTTTGGAGAACAAGAAATGCTGGACCACTCTCACAACCACCATGTCAGACTACACAGAGAAGCCATTGAAATCCACAAGCATGTGGACAATTCCAACAGAAAGGAGGAAACCATGAAATTGAACAAAATCTGGCTCCAGGCACAGTCAGGCCATTGTATGCAATCAAGGTGGTCAGTTGAAACATTCACACCAAGCTCCAGCAGACAAAAGTCCTTTGTCTCACCCTGGTCATTCCACAGATATATAAACCTTTTTCCTAGTTCCAACAGACCTCACTACCTCTGAGGATGCTTGCCATAGATGCAGGCGAAACGTCAGGAGAAAATATGCCTCTAGAACATGACCATATAGCCCGGAAAAACCTACAACAACCCTGTGTAAACCAGTGTTTTCGTTGCTACGTAACTGTAATTTTGCTACTTTTATGCTTACTTACTTAGGCGATCCCTCATTGTCCGAGTGGGATAATCTTCCAGGGTGGGTCCGTAGGTGACTATGGAGCCCTATTCTTGATCTTCATCTTCTTCCGCAGTGAGGGCATTGGTTTCCAGGTGGAAGGTGGTCCTGGTTGGGGTTGGCTTGATGCACCTTCCTCTTGGCATGTTTCTCTCTTTCGCCCTCCATTCATGCCTCTTCAATTTCTACAGCACTGCTGGTCACAGCTAACCTCCAGCTGGAGCACTCACAGGCCAGGGCTTCCCAGTTCTCAGTGTCTATGCCAGAGATTTTAAGGTTGGCTTTGAGCCCACCTTTCAATCTCTCTTCCTGTCCTCCAACATCCCATTTTCCGTTCTTGAGTTCGGAGTAGAGCAACTGCTTTGGGAGACGGTGGTCAGGCATCTGGACAATGTGGCCGGTCAAGCGGAGTTGATGGAGGAGGACCATCGCTTCAGTGCTGGTGGTCTTTGCTTCTTCCAGCACGCTGACATTTGTCTCTTTGTCTTCCCAAAAGATTTGTAGGATTTTCCGGAGGCAGCACTGATGGAATCATTCCAGGAGTTGCATGTGATGTCTTTAGACGGTCCATGTTTCACAGGTGTATAGCAGGGTTGGGGGGACAATCTATATATATAAAAATGCTCTGTGCATAATGAGTACCTTAAAAACAAAAGAACCAATCAACGAAATCACACCAAATTTGGCAACAAAACATCTCACTATACAAGGAGTGACCATCACTCAAAAATTATGATTTTGTCATTTGGGAGTTGTAGTTGCTGGGATTTATAGTTCACCTACAGTCAAAGAGCATTCTGAACCCCACCAATGATGGAATTGAAGCAAACTTGGCACACAGTTCTCCCATGACCAATGTAAATACTGGAAGGGTTTGGTGGGCAGTGTCCTTTGGTTTTGGAGTTGTAGTTCACCTACATCCTGAGATCTCTGTGGACTCAAACAATGATGTATCTGCACCAAACTCTACACGAATACTCAATATGCCCAAATATGAACACTGGTGGAGATTAGAGAAAATAGAATCTTGACATTTGTGAATTGTAATTGCTGGGATTTATAGTTCACCTACAATCACAGAGCATTCCGAACCCCACCAACGATAGAATCGGACCAAACCTCCCACACAGAACCCCCATGACGGCCACAGCAACACGTGGCAGGGGAAGGCTAGTAGCTTTATCAACAAGCACCTTGGTATCCCTCAAACACTCTCTGCTTCATTCGGAAAAAAGCTGCACTTGCAGAGCTCAGGCACTGTTGTATTTCGGTGTCAATGTTGACTTTGGTGGAGAGGTGGCTGCCAAGGTAGGTACTGTTATCAATCATAATGTAAAAACGTTAGGAGAGAATGCTGCTGGAACACAACCATATAGCCCGGAAAACACAGCATCTCAGTGATTCCAGCCATGAAAGCTTTCGACAATACATAAATCCAAATGACTTGAGGACACACAACCACAAGACAGATTGGGATGTGATATAAGAGGTGAAGGACCAAAGAGGTGAAGGACCAAGCGGAAATCCCTTTCTCCACCCATTTGAATGCATTTAAGATCTAATTGAAACATCACCTCTTCTTGCATCATGGTGAGGATCACTATTGGCACAGAATGTCTGCTCCGCTTCACTTCCTGGGCCTCTTGCACTGCGATCAGGGCAAAAGTCTGACCAAGTCTTTGATTTCAGATCAATTTCCTTGTTGGGTCCATTGTTGTTGTGAGTACAAAGGATCTGAAACAAACAATGTGGAAAACAGTGATACTTTGTTCTCTCGCTACTTCGCGGTTCACTTTTAGCGGACTCGCTGTTTCGCAGTTTTCAAAAAATATTAATTTAAAATATAATAATAATAATAATAATAATAATAATAATAATAATAAACTGTATTTGTATACCGCCCATCTCAGCCTTCCGGCAATTTGAGGTGGTTTACAAGGCAAAATTCAATACCATAGGAACACAAGTACAATATAAAAAAAGCATTAACATCCATAAAATCATAACAATAACAATAAAACATAAATCAATAAATTCTCATTAAAAAAACATTGTCCAGTCTCATCGTATAGTTGTTTCAGTTCCTATGTCTGTTACTCAATATTTGCAAATGCTTGCTCGAATAGCCATGTCTTGAGTTTTTTTCCGAAATGTTAGGAGCGAAGAAGCTGATCTGATCTCCCTTGGGAGGGTGTTCCATAACTGAGGGGCCACCACTGAGGAGGCCCTGTCTCTCGTCCCCGCCAGACGTACTTGTGACTAACCCAAGGAGTGACCATCACTCAAAAAAAATTGAGTTGTCATTTGGGAGTTGTAGTTGTTGGGATTTATAGTTCATCTACAATCAAAGAGTATTCTGAACTCCTTCAATGATGGAATTGAACCAAACATGGTACACAGGACTCCCATGACCAACAGAAAATACTAGAAGGGTTTGGTGGGCATTGATGTTGAGTTGGGGACTTGTAGTACACCTACATCCAGAGAGCACTGTGGACTCAAACAATGATGGATCTGGACCAAACTTGGCACGAATATTCCATATGCCCAACTAGGAACACAGATGGAGTTTAGGGGAAATAGACCTTGACATTTGGGAGTTGTAGTTACTGGGATTTACAGTTCACGTACAATCAAAGAGCATTCTGAACTCCACCAATGATGGAATATAACTAATCTTGGCACACAGAACTCTCATGAACAACAGAAAACACTAGAAGGGTTTGGTGGGCATTGATCTTGAGTTTGGGAGTTTTGGTTCACCTACATCCAGAGAGCACTGTGGACTCAAACAATGATGGATCTGGACCAAACTTGGCACGAATACTCAAGTGTAAACACAGGAGGAGTTTGAGGAAAACAGACCTTGACATTTGGAAGTTGTGGTTACAGGGATTTATAGTTCACCTACAATCAAAGAGCATTCTGAACCCCACCAAGGACAGAATTGGGCCAAACCTCCCACATAGAGCCCCCATGACCAATAGAAAATACTTAAGGCCATCCAGTCCAACTCCTTTCACCAGGACAAGAAAATGTAATCAAATACTGTTTACTCACAAGCATAAAGAACCTACATATATTAGAAATCAACACTTTCTCGTTACTTTATTTCCCAGATCCCCACACTGGGCCACAGCAACACGTGGCAGGGGATGGCTAGTATTAAAATAAATATAGCGTCCCTACATTGTGGTTTTTCACTTATTGCAGGAGATCCTGGAACGTAAGCCCCGTTCTATCCCATTTCTGTTCAAATAATGTTTCAACAGGATGAACAACATATGGAAAAAAAGCCATTGATCATCATGAATCATTTTCCTCTCATCTTCCTTTTTTAGCTCAAGGATATGATAGAGCTAAATGAATTGTAATATAGAGGCTCAAGGATGTAGAGATGGAATTCCAGATAACTGGGAATCAGTCTCCTTAAGGGAATAACTGTTATGCCCAAACATGACAAAAGTACGTAGTTGTGTTTCTCTATCTAGCCAGATGATTATTCATGTGCTTTTGGATTGTTCCGGCTAGAATTATCCTCTCCATCTCCATATCTACACATACATATTGTCTGATGTTGACAAATACATATCTTTTAGAATATCTAAGTTTCTGACAATGTTTTGCAACTGTATGAACTATAGGCCTCAAGGCTTTAGGTGCAATTAGGAGGCATTGTAAATCTTCAACGCTATAATGATTTAATTGTACCTCATGAAGTTGGATCTGGCCAGGGTGGTCCACGCCTTAGTCACCTCCAGATTAGATTACTGTAATGCACTCTACGTGGGGCTGCCCTTGAAAATGGCTCGGAAATTCCAATTGGTACAATGGGCGGCAGCCAGGTTACTTACTGGAGCAACTTATAGGGAGCGGTCAACCTCCCTGTTTAAGGAGCTCCATTGGCTGCCGTTCATTTTCCGGTCCCAATTCAAGGTGCAGGTTCTTACCGACAAAGCCCTGAACGGTTTGGGACCTGCCTACCTGTGTGACCGCATTTCTATGTAAGAACCCACACAATCTCTTTGATTATCTGGAGAGGCCCTACTCTTGCTCCTGCCCCCTTCGCAGGCGCGATATGTGGGGACTAGGGAGAGGGCCTTTTCGGTGGTGGCCCCTCGACTCTGGAATTCACTTCCCGAGGATATCAGGCAAGCCCCCACATTGGCGGTCTTTAGGAGAAGCCTGAAAACATGGCTATTCCAGTGTGCCTTCCTTGAATAAGGAGAACTCTAAGCAATATGTCCTCACAATGCACTTTAATACTGACGTAGGATGGACTGTGCTCCCTAATTTATCTCCGAAAAATTCTATCCTAGTTATATTTTACCTTGTTCACGTCAGCATATTTTCAATTTTAATCTATTACATTTGGTCCGGCCATTTTTAAAATTTCCTGAAAACTTGCTGAAAACAGAATGGAGGGGGAAACGGAATTTTGGTTTCTGAATTATGAATCCAAACTCCTCCCATCCTAATCTCCCAGAAATTCCTGAAAACAGAACGGAGGGGGAAATGGAATTCCGGGTTCTGAATTAAGAATCCAAACACCCCCCATCCTAATCTCCTGAAAACTTCCTGAAATGGAATGGAGGGGGAAACGGAATTTTGGGTTCTGAATTAAGAATCCAAACGCCTCCCATCCTAATCTCCTGGAAAGTTCCTGAAAACAGAATGGAGGGGGAAATTGAATTCTGGGTTCTGAATTATGAATCCAAACGCCTCCCATCCTAATCTCCCAGAAACTTCCTGAAAACAGAATGGAGGGGGAAACGGAATTCCAGGTTCTGAATTATGAATCCAAACTTCTCCCATCCTAATATCCTGGAAACGTCCTGAAAACAGAACGGAGGGGGAAACAGAATTCCGGGTTCTGAATTAAGAATCCAAATGTCTCCCATCCTAATCTCCTGGAAACTTCCTGGAAACAGAACTGAGGGGGAAACGGAATTCCAGGTTCTGAATTAAGAATCCAAACGCCTCCCATCTTAATCTCCTGGAAACTTCCTCAAAACGGAACGAAGGGGGAAACAGAATTCCGGGTTTTGAATTAAGAATCCAAACACCTCCCTTCCTAATCTTCCGGAAACTTTCTGAAAATAGAAAGGAGGGGGAAACGGAATTCTGGGTTCTGAATTAAGAATCCAAACTTCTTCCATCCTATCTCCTGGAAACTTCCTGAAAACAGAACGGAGGGGGAAACGGAATTCCGGGTTCTGAATTAAGAATCCAAACGCTTCCCATCCTAATTTCCCGAAACTTCCTGAAAACAGAATGGAGGGGGAAATGGAATTCTGGCTTCTGAATTACGAATCCAAACATTTCCCATCCTAACCTCCCGGAAACTTCCTGAAAACAGAACGGAGGGGGAAATGGAATTCTGGCTTCTGAATTAAGAATCCAAATGCCTCCCATCCTAATCTCCTGGAAACTTCCTGAAAGCAGAATGGAGGGGGAGATGGAATTCCAGGTTCTGAATTATGAATCTAAATGCCTCCCATCCTAATCTCCCAGAAACTTTCTGAAAACAATAGGTAGGGGGAAACGGAATTCCGTGTTCTGAATTACGAATCCTAACTTCTCCCATCCGAATCTCCTGGAAACTTCCTGAAAACAGAACAAAAACATGGATTTCTGCCATTTCACACACCCCTAGAAAATGCTCCTGTCTGAAACCCTGGGGAGCCATTGAACCTCCGGATAGACAATAATCTGAAGAAATGGAACAATGGCGCCACTCAAAGTGTTCCCACACTCACCTCCAAATTGTGCCTGTCCCTTTCGAGGACATAAGCAACTGGGCCTTTGGCGGCATCTATGGCGCAATCCTGGAAGACAGAAGTAGAGAGTGTCAGTGCAATGAAACCAAAATGAACACAGCTTACTTCTGTGATTTAAAACATGATGCATTTTGCGGCATGTTGCATAGGATTGACATGGATTACAGCTCACCTTTGCGTGAATCACGTTGTATATTGCATCTGAAATCGTCTCCTTTCTGAATGTGCTAAGAATATCCTGTAGAAGTGCTGTGCATTCTGTAAAAAGAAATACACACACAACCTGTATATATAAGCAATGTCCAAACGTAGGAATAATAGCAATGTCCCAAAAAGCTTGCGGAAATAATCCAAATGCAGTGAATAACCAAAAGCCTTCAACAGAAAACTATGAACAGACTAGCCACTGCTAATCCCCTTGAAAAGCTAGATATATCCTTAGAGACGAGGCCACTTGAATCAGGAATTTCCAGGAGATTTGAGCTTGATTCCAAACGATGCCCAATCTGAAGAAGATTCTCTAAGGGCCCAATTTAAATCCCAAAAACTGGTTTCTACTCCCCCCAGTTTTTGGCCTTAACTGCCGAATTCTTTCTGACCTGCATAAACACTGGGCCTCTCAATGGTTCTGGCTGATTTCCAGATGGCGACTGGTCTTATCTATCTCTATCTCCTCATTAACTCCCCCAGGTGTCAAGCTATCTTGCAAACTTGAGCCTGGAGAAGGGAATAAACTTTCTTCCCTTGCTCTGACAGCAACTTTCTCATGAGAACTTAGCCTTTCCCCTGACCCCTCTCGATCAGTGTCTGCAGTAACCTTATCTCAGCGGCTTTCGATACCATTTTTCATTGTATCCTTCTGGGGCGGCTCTCCAGAATGGGTCTTGCAGGCATTGCTCTGCAGTGGCTCCGTTCCTTCCTGGAGGGTCGCTCCCAGTTGGTGAAGCTGAGGGATACCTGCTCAGACCCGTGGCCTTTGACCTGTGGGGTCCCGCAAGGTTCCATTCTATCCCCCATGCTTTTCAATATCTACATGAAACCCCTGGGTGAGGTTATCTGGAGTTTTGGAGCTGGGTGCCATCTGTACACTGATGACACCCAACTCTACTACTAATTTCCACCGAATTCCAAGGAAGCCTCCCAGACCCCGAACCGATGTCTGACAGCTGTGATGGACTGGATGAGGGCTAACAGGTTGAAGCTTAATCCAGACAAGGCAGAGGTCCTCCTGGTCAGTCGTGGGACCGACCGGGGTATTGGGTGGCAACCTGTGCTCGACGGGGTTACACTCCCCCTGAAGTTAGCCTGGGGGTCCTCCTGGACTCAACGCTATCACTTGATGCTCAGGTGTCAGTAGTGGCTGGGAGGGCCTTTGCACAACTCAAACTTGTGCGCCAGCTGCAACCATACCTTGTGAAGTCTGACTTGGCCAGGGTGGTCCACACCTTGGTTACATCCAAACTGGACTATTGCAATGCACTCTACGTAGGGCTGCCCTTGAAGATGTCTCGGAAGTTTGATCTGGTACAGCGGGTGGCAGCCAGGCTCCTTACTGGAGCAAACTATAGGGAGCACACAACACCCCTATTAAAACAGCTTCATTGGCTGCCGATAAGTTACTGAGCCAAATTCAAGGTGCAGGTCATGACCTATAAAGCCCTAAATGGTTCGGGCCCTGCCTATCTCTGCTATTGCATCTCCTTCTATGAACCGGCGTGAGCTCTAAGATCTTCTGGGGAGGCCCTCCTCTCGGTCCCACTAC